AACTCAATGAAAACAGAAATGTCAGTGAGCATTCACAGATCCTTTCCATAGTTATTGAGGCAGTTCAGTTCTTGCCAGCTCAACTCTATTCACGAGACATAAAAAAAGGATCTGAGGCACAGGGCCAAAGCATAATTTGTTAGTGCAAGAGAATAGTTCAAATTCTCCTGCCCCTCAAAGTAGTTTAGCCACATGGAAACTGAGTACTGGGAACACGCCTTTAGCCCACACCAACTCCCAGATTATTTCTGCAGATTGTTTGGAAGAGTGCTAGTTAGTTGAAGGCAAAATAGTATGAGGGATCATTTTAAAACTTGAACAATACAGACAAATCATCTTTCTGGGCCTGGGTACAATTTCTGGCAATTTTCTGGCACTATTCAATTTACTATTATATATTCAGCCTTCAAATGCTATGAACGAAAAGCAATCTGCCCAGTGACTGCTAGCAATCTGCACATCAGTGGACGATTTACTACAAGCTGTGGAAAAAATTTCACTGTTTCCTTCTCCCCTGCAGGCTCAAAAAAGATTTAATAGTACCTGCTGATGGCAGATTCTAGATGACTTCAGTAATTTCTGAAAGTTCTGGGATCCTGCAGCACATTAAAACCATAAATTTCTGGCTATTAATATATTAATAAGTGTATTTAAAATGATGCTGCAAGATGCTTAACCAGACAAGACAGCCCTGTACACTTGGTGACTGCTCCATGGGCTTTTTTATTGTGTCTGTCCTTCAGAGCACTTAGGATCTTCCAGGATGACACTGAGCTCAGATTAATTGATTGAGAAGCATAAAGTCCTATTGACTTTCAGCATGACTTAAATGCTGCTCAGTATATATCTCTATTGCTCCCCTTTCTCAGCAGTTTACATCATGAGGGGTTGATCCTGTCTGCAATAATTGGAGACAGGAGCAAAGACAAACCTGAGACTGCAGTATCAGGAAAGGTTCTTTATGGCTGCCATTGTACCCCTTCATACTCACCAGAATATTTCTGAAAGGGTAATGACTGGACTGGACTGTAACTAAATGGTTCTGTCAGCAGGGAGCAGGTGAAGCTGTCCTTACCCTGAGGGAGCTCAGGTAAATCTTAGGAAGCATCAAATTCTTCCTTGTTGCAATTTTATTTCTAGCCCCATGGCAAATACTTTCAGATCAAGGTCAGAACAAAACAGCCTCACATTTCTTAGCCTTTCTGCCTGCACCTCACTTATCTACACGGACAAGAACGAACTTTTGCAGAGTCCCTGTTTTCCTCCCTGATGCTCACACTGGCAAGAAAGGCCTGACACATTTACCACATGCTTACTCATCTACAACCTAACCCATGCAAGGAAGGTAGAGCCAATACCTCAATGAGATCTGCACCAATACCAGCCTTTCTCATGAACAACTGCAAGGGCTGTGTGAACAAAGCCTAACAGAGACATTATAGAAACTTACACAGCTAGCCACAATAAGAATGACTTATATAGCTGTCTTAAATGTTACAAGAACCCAGGAAATGAAATCCAGTCCCTGGCACAGTGGTTAACAAGAAGGTTGAAAGCTGATTGAACCATGGTCTCACTTCCTGACTGCTCTCCTCTATGTCCCTACTGTGGGGTTGGCTAGGCTAGTACACATGGGCCTGGAGCAAAGGCTGTTCATTCAGGTGTGGTTTATGTCTGCATATTCTTGATGATGTCTAATGAATAAATGTTCACATTTAGCCACCAATTTAACTTTCTGCGACTTTCATTAAAAATTAAGAGAACTCAAATTCCTTGGTATGCTTCTCTAATAAAAATTTATTCCCTTTCTACAAATTTATAATCAGGTCTAATTTATGGATAACCCTTATTCTGCAATCATTTTTTATTCTCTCATGTCTTAAAGAAAAAAAATCAATTACATCTACCGCTTGCAATGTTTTCCCTTCAGATTTATCTGAGATTTGACTTAGTCCCCTGCATTTCTTCTTAATTACTGGCAAACAGTAGTTCTGTAGCTGAGGAACTATGTGATTCCTTGCTGCAGACTATGATACATCTAAATATTTCATTCAAGCTCTACATCTTTATTCGAATTTGCTTTGCATTAAAAACAAAAATAAAACTTGTCTCTGAAGAAAGTTATTAGCTATATTAGGACACCCCTTCTTGCTTCAGAAAGGCCCACCACACTTTATATCAACTAAATATTTTCAAATTCAGAGACAGCAGTGTGAATAATTTTTGCATAAAGTACAGTTTCAAGTTCTGCCTTACAATTTCATGTATTTTAGTCTGGTGTATTGGCTATCTCATAAACAACTAAGGCCTCTACAACAAACTTATGTCTGCATAACTGTGTTTTACTGGTTGAAATGATTTCCTTCAAAAAATATAACAGTGTAGTAGCTGCAGAGTTCAATAAAAATACCACTTCTGAAAACCTTTGACTTATTTTAACTTTGAAAAAATCCAAAAAATTCAAGACAGTACTTAATTTGAAAATCAACAGCAAGGGATGAACAATAAATCCAGCCCTATTTTATAGATAGTCTGGGCTCATTTAATGAATGGACTCCAGTTACTATGTATAGTAATAGAATGAGATATCTTAAAGCTTGTGAGCAGAGCTGTTAGCTAATACCACACAAGTCATGTGTTTCAAGGGAAGCTGAAGGCATTGTCTTATGGAGGGATTCCCTTTGCAAGGGAAGAAGGAATTGATGACGAAGTGCGATGGTCTAGTTTGCTTCACCTACTGCACACACCCCTGGGGAGGCTTGCACACACTAGTACAATGGTCTAATAAATCTTTGACCTAATGTATTACTGCCAACTTTCAAAATTTTTCACAGATGAACAGTGCAGTCACATGATACAGAATTGTTTATCATTTTATTATCCAGGAAAAGCAAGGTGTTATGATTGCTGTTTGGGAACTAATGAATCAGAGCATGCACTAGGGTTGTGCAAACATGGAGAAGATTTGGGCCACAATTTTATAACTCTCTGACAACTGTTGGTTCTTTGCTGTTTCCCTTCCACCTCTCTCCTAAAATGCTTGGCATAGAAAATGTATCCACCTTTCACTGATCATGCCTCTAAGATCAGAAAGAAGTACATAGTCTCTTCCCTTGATCTCCTCAGATGTTCACTGTCAGATCTATACAATGAGCAACTAAACCTACTTTTCTCCTCCTTGGATGCAGCGAGAAAATTTCACCAGAAAGTGCTGGCATATGTCAGATCTATACAATGAGCAACTAAAGCTACTTTCCTCCTCCTTGGATGCAGCAAGAAAATTTCACCAGAAAATGCTGGCATGTTGTGCCCAAGTGCCTCTTTCAGAACTTCAATGCCTCAATGGCAAAGCAGGTATCCCCAACAGAAATTCCCTTTGGATCTGCCCCACCAGCAGGCCATTCAAGTTGCCAATCCTACTGTTCCTGTTAGCAATAAAACTGCAGAGAAATTCACTTTCAGTGAACAACCAGAATGCTCACAGAGCTGCTGGGTTTGTGGGCTGTCTGCCAAAACACATTGCTTAGTTTCAATTCAAGATGGATCATGTTTTTCTAGAAACTGTGTCCTCCTGAAAGGGAAGTGTTGTCTTCTGCACAGATCTACTGCTTAGATTCTGATGCAAAGAATGGACAGTGACTGTTATAGGGCTTAAGAAGCTCAAGAAAGCATTGCAATAAGACTGGACAAAATACTTATACTAAGAAAACAATGTATCCATGATTTAGGGAACACAGTTTTAACTTACAACCATATATGTTTTATAATAGCAATACACATAAGTAATATGTATATAGCCATAGTAATTCTTCAGGTCCACATTTGAATAAATGACAAAAGCTCCAAGTCTTCGATAATCAAATATGAAGCAATTATACGTATGAATACCATTAAAGATATATGAAAGCTTATTTCTAAATTTACTTGTTGATATTGGGAAGAATTGAATCTCTCAGACATTTTTCCTTCTTCCTCTCTATTGTTTCTTACCTTGAATTCTTTCCTCCTAATTCAATTGCACTTTCTTTTCTTCATGCGTTCTCCTATCTTACCCTCTCTTTTTTCACAATGCCTCCGCAAAGCTCAAAAGCCTTTCAATTTGGATGTCTGTTTTATGAAGAATTGAATCTCTCAGACATTTTTCCTTCTTCCTCTCTATTGTTTCTTACCTTGAATTCTTTCCTCCTAATTCAATTGCACTTTCTTTTCTTCATGCGTTCTCCTATCTTACCCTCTCTTTTTTCACAATGCCTCCGCAAAGCTCAAAAGCCTTTCAATTTGGATGTCTGTTTTATGAAGAGTGAGAGGTGACTGAAACTAAGATTTTTTTCCCCAAAAATGTCAATGATTTATAATCGAAAGCAGTTTCTTGTAAGAGTGAGAGGTGACTGAAACTAAGATATTTTTCCCCCAAAATGTCAATGATTTATAATCCAAAGCAGTTTCTTGCAAACATATATTCTCTTTTTGTAATTGTAATCCTCTTCACAGAATCATAAAACAACTTTCAGTGAAGGAGAAACTCAAGATTCCAAGAACAATCCTTCTGACCTACTTGTATTACCATCTAATTTGGTGATCAGTCCTGAACCTCATTTGCTGTAGGCTTTAGACTCAAAAGCTAGCAGATTTAATGCCAGCAACCACTGTGATGTTTAACTGAAGACTAGGATAGATTTCTCATGTTTTGCCAGATTTCTTATGCATTTTTTTCTATACGTTTACATACTAAAATGATGTTTTTACAGTCAATCTCAGAAGTGAAAAAATGACATACCTGTTAGTACCGTTGTTGATAAATTGATTGAAATCACATGGGAAACTTGCCTAAACCCACTTACATTATAAAGGCAAATTTGAGCCATAGTTGATTCAAACATCAAAACAAACCTCAAACCCACCAACTAATAGAGGAAAAAACAAATCAACTACTGTAAGATACACTCTTGAAGATGAGCTAGTTATTTTCACATACTTCTCTCATTTCATTTGACTCTTACCTGGACAAGGCAAAATGTTGCATTCCTGGTACTCTAGAGATGGGCCAAGGCAAGGAAGTCCTCCATACTTGGGTTCAGGATTGCTGCAGACCCGTTTGCGATTCCGTATACCTCTACTGCAGTCGCGACTGCACTGAGACCATGGAGACCAGGGTGACCAGGCACCATTGATGGTATGAGCAGAGTATCGTCCAGAACGCAAGAAATCCCCTGACAATCCTAATGAAATAAGGATTGAAAAAGTAATACTGAATTAAAAGAGTATCTCACCCCAAACTCACCTTTTCCTCTTCATATTTACTCCTAGGCTTCTAATAGTAAATAATATGAACAGGAGGGTTTTGCCCTTTAGTCTAACAATCCAAACCCTAGTTTCATCTCAAGAATCTCTTCCATAATATAAATTTCATAATCACTTGCACAGAACTACAGCAAAGATTTGGACCCATCACTTTAGTTAAAGCTTTATGGCTGCATTGACTGAACAAGTCAATTTACTCCACCTAAGAATGAAAAAAATTTTCTCTTGCACAGGAATTATCATCAGAAAAGCTACAAATATATGACATATATATATTATTGTCTCTGTTTTAGAGGAAGAAGGGGACACGGGACACAGGACTGAGCTTCCTGGGACCCTCATCGAGCCAGCTCCCCTGGTCCTACTGCACGGCTCTGCACACTTGATCCTGTGCAAGTGAGCAGCCTCCTACCACTACTGCAATTTGCCTGGATATAGCCCTGGCTGAAGTTCTAGTAGTCTGCAGTTCATTTGAGTATCTTTGTCATTTTTGGGCTTGGTCCTACATGGAAAAAACCTCCCTCAACTGTACTCAGCACAACACTGAAATCACTCGAGCTGTAGCATTACCTCTAAGCATCATTTCTGAGCATCTCCAGCAGCACTGCTGGGATTTCCTACTGTTGCCAAAGCAGTTCACCTTTCCCAGTGCTAGCATCATTGGAAACTCTATGATTGATGGACCAATAACTGTTGCTTTTATTACAAGCACTTATTTAAATAGTTGTGATGAGAGAAGGTCCTATGAATGGTACTTAAAACAGCAGAGGATGTGGTTGCTGCTCTATACTAGAGCTTCAGGATTACTAATATAAGTACAGATGAATGGTATCATCAACAGTGGATAAATGCAGGGGATTGTTTGCAGCTTAAACTGCAGTACAAATGTCTGTTCTTAAGAAATTGTTTCATGCCTTACCCAGAGGTATAGGCACTGTGGGAGTATCAAATGGAGATAAAGAAACAGAAGATGTACTGAATCATGTACTGAAAAAAGATAGAAATAATACCATGAGGAGTTTGCCCAATAGGAGTCCTGGACTCAAGAGGACCAGCATTCTGGGTAACCAGGATGGTGGAGCCTCTCATTTGCAGTGTCCAGTACTGAAACAATCACATCCTATTTCTACCCATGGTTCTGGCATTAGTAACAATGCTTAAGTTCTTCCCTGAGAAGTACAATCATCCCAAAGGATATGAGGGTTTGCATATTTTTATTAAACACTTGATAACTAGCAGTATTGGAATGATGATGCACTGACACAAATACTTGTAATAAGAAACTGCTTAAACTAATAAGAAAACAGTAGAATGGCAATATAAAAATGACTAAAAATGGGTAAACCCTTTCAGAAATTAAAAAGGGTAACTATTTCTCTCCTGATGAGCCAGATTCTATTACAGAGATATTAAAAGCAGCATTTCAAGAAATATGACGTACATGCAAATGCAAAAAAAGAGAGCAAGTACAGAGCAACAGTATGGGAACACAGGTCTAGTTTCCTGCTCTGTTAGACCCCTTTTTTACAATTTTGTGTCACTTTGGTCATGGAAATGCTCAGGTCATATATGCAGTGAGCTGAGAGATCAAATTAATAGTATTTTTTAATACTATAATTTCAAATTAAGGGTTTTTTTGTTAATAAATTAAAAACAATGCAAACAATGGAAAAAGTGCTATTTGGACCAGACTGCTAGTCATTTCCTACATAAATCACTGCAGGATCACTTCATACAAATTCTAGGATATTCGGAAGATATTTTTGCAGGACATGTGTAGCTTTTTAAGTCCTAAGGAAAATATGTGCCCTTATTTGACACAATGGTATTAGATTTCTTGCGATTTAAATTGGGGTCTGGGGAAGGGAATCTTATAAGGGAAAGCTCTAAGGTATTTTAGCTCTGAAACAGAAAAATATTCTAAAGAATCATTTCAGTGCAGAGTTTGGTCTGCAGCAAGTGTTCCCCTGTGTTTTCTTCTTTCCAAAGCATTAAAAAATTTATTATGAGGAGCAGTCTTTTCACAGTTTGAAAAGAGTGTTCATAGAGAGGCTTGTAGAATTTTCTCTTCAGATAGAAACTACACACAAACCCCCTTAATGCTATGCTATTAATGACATGAAAAATAACAAGATTGGTTTACATTCTGGAAATACAGTACTATATATTCCTTGAACAACCTTATGTTCACCACAATGAGGTAACTAAGTTCATGGATGAGAAGAATGGTGGATGTTGCTTATCTGAACTTCAGTAAAGGTTTTGACACTGACTCCCATAACTTCCTGATAGAAAAGTAACAAAGTATAAGCTGGACAAGTGGACAGTGCAATGCATTGAAAACTGGCTGAGCAGCTAGGCCCAGAGGATTGTGATCAGTCATTAAAAGGACTGCTGCAGAAAAGTCACTAGTGATGTATGCCAAGGGTCAGTACCAGCTCCAATCCTGTTTAACACCATCGTTAATGACCTGCACAAGTTTGCTGATGATGAAAAGTAACAAAGTATAAGCTGGACAAGTGGACAGTGCAATGCATTGAAAACTGGCTGAGCAGCTAGGCCCAGAGGATTGTGATCAGTCATTAAAAGGACTGCTGCAGAAAAGTCACTAGTGATGTATGCCAAGGGTCAGTACCAGCTCCAATCCTGTTTAACACCATCGTTAATGACCTGCACAAGTTTGCTGATGATGTGATGTATGCCAAGGGTCAGTACCAGCTCCTGTTTAATTTAACACCATCGTTAATGACCTGCACAAGTTTGCTGATGATGTAGTGGCTGAGGGTCATGTTGCTCTTTGACTAGGCAAAGAATATACTCATGGAGTTCAACAAGGTGAAATGCTAAGTCTTGCATCTGGGGAAGAACAGCTCCACGCAACCACACTTTGAGGCCAACGATCTAAAAAGCAGCTCTGCAGAGAAGGGTCTTGGGGTCATGTAGGACAGTAAGTTGACTGTGAGCCAGCAATGTGACCTTGTGGAAAAGAAGGCCAATATTTTTTTGGGTTACATTGGGAAGGTCAAGGAAGGGGGTCCTTCCTATCTCCTCAGCACTGCTAGAGAGCCCATCTGGAGTTTAGGGCCCAGATCTGGGCTCCTGAGTCCAGCTAAGAAGTCCTGTTTATTAACTGAAGCGGTAGAGGGGACGGGGGCAGAGGATCAATGCAAAATTAAACAAAAGATTATATTGCAGGATTTCTTCAAGTAAAACCTCTCCAGAACGTAAGTGGCTATACAGAACCAAGTCCTAGCTGTGTCACAGTTTGCATCTAATTTGACAGGAGAAAGTATAAATACAAAAGCATTGTAATCTTTTAGAGCAAAGTGGCACAAAACCATCAAAACACCAACTTTTCTCATTAAAGTGTGGCTTTCTTGCTTGTTACCTCTGTTTGCAATTCAGACTGCCCTACATCCACCTCCAGGAACAGAAACCAGACTGTGCCACTCAAAAGAAATTAGCAATAAGCTTTCTGTTTTTCTCAGCTTACTGCTGATAAAAATATATGATAAGATAAAAATATATGGCTAAACCAGAATACAATGGTCAATGCCCTCACCTTCGTAACCACAAAAGTCTAGCTGCTAAAACAACACCTTAGCCCCACTTGTTTGAAGCCCATCTACAGAAATAATTGTGAAATCTACAAAAAGAAAGATCAGTCATAGAATCATCAGTGAACTAATGAATAGTTTTCCCAAGACAAACAGAACAATCATGAAACAAATCCAGATCTGACCTTTATGACAGGTTCGTTGTTCAAATGGTTTAAACTAAATTGTTCTCAGAAAGTCAATGACTGACTTAGAGCCCTGTGACCAACTAGAATGTATAAATTCTGCTTGCAGCTTACCAACAGGCTTATTTTCAGTTGTTCACAAGTTGTACCCAAGTAATAAACTGCTGCACACTAAGGCTAGAAAAGGGGATTTAACTACTTAATCCTAGTACAATTATAAGGAAGCCTCCCTAATGTGAAAATTTCCACAAGGAACAACAAGTACTGCAAGAACTTCAGTAAGAGAAATCACAGGGATTTCGTGGACAAAATACCCATCAACTTCTAAGATTAGGGAAGGCACAAGATGTGAACTGACATCTCAGCAGAAGACTTTTCTCTTATTTTAAGTGCTTATGCTCTGTTCAATACGTTCAAAATTACAGAGAAATTATTACTGGTTTGCTGATGACTTACCTATTCCATTACGAACATATAACAGGAAAAAAAATGCCCCATTAAGTTACATAATTCTGATCTAACCCAAGATGATTTGATAATTTCTAAGTAAATGTTTAAAACATTTTGGCTGAATTAAAATAGTTTTATAAATCCACAAGAAACTAATCCTGTTTGGAGACATGTTAAAAGTCACCTGTCCTGACTAGTATAGGAGAAGAAAATCTGCCTTTGCAAAAGCCTGTAATGAGACTTTGATTGCCTGATTCTGCTTGAAAACTGCAACACTCCCAGCCAAGTTCAATTAATTTGCCTTAAAAGTGAAGCTCTAATAAAGCACACAGTTTTATAATAATTCCCTAGTCTAGCCTGTAGCTAAGTAATCTCTAAATAAGAGAGAAGTAGCTGTGACACCTGATAAATTACATTACTTGACTGATTTATGCCTTATGTCTTCCTGTTCCAACCTAACAAAGAAAATTCAATTATCCTAGCAGTCTAGGTTCATGACTTTGGGAAAAGATGATCTGAAGCTAAAATTCAAGTATCCTGGATCATTTCTAAATGACAGCATGAAACACTGTTTCAAGAGCAGCAAGTAACAAGGAAAAGCAAAGGCTGTTTCAGTGTTGTTACTTTCTGAAGATAAGTCTGCACTATTTGCCAATATTATCGAAGCATAAAACTCATATACCTTCAGGCCTAAATACCATTAATGTATAAAAACTTCATAAAGCTTCAAAACTTACTTAGTTTTAATAGTAAAATATAAATGGTAAAATGCAATGGCAAACACTAATGCAATGCAAAACCAGCATATTTAAAAAACCCAAACAGTATGCAGATGGAGGAGGTTATGTTACCATAAACCAGAACTTTATGCCTTGTACCTAATTGTTCTGTGTTTAAATATTTATTTCTTTTTCAATCCCAAAGTTTTACTGAGGAGTTGTTTGTCAATCGAACTTAAATTTGTCATCAAATTCACTTTTAAATTCCGTAAATTATTTTGCCCTTACTCATAATACCACAGTTTACTTCAGTAAGACAGCATAAGAGATAACACCTCCATATGTACTCCACCTCACTACTGGGCATCCCTGATTGTGAGCACATGTTTTATTCTGTACTGAATTCTGAATGTACTATAGATTTCCTATGAGTAGCACAAGGACGTAATCAATGTTTTTACAAGAGATCATAGCCACTAAAGCACTATTTCAGACAAGATTACGTCTTGCCTTCAAAAATAACTATTGTTTTAAGTTTGACATAGAGAAAGCAGTGACAACTGGTAACTGAAGATAAGGATCCGGGCGTCTTTTTCTCCTTTAAGGAATTTGTGACTTTTCTTCAGATTTTATTTTCCCTTCCCATCCATACCCCACCCCCACAAAAAAAAAATTACTGAAATTGTGAGTACTGCATTTGTTTAATTTCCTTCTGAAGGTATTTTGGGAGCTAATCTGCCCTTGCACTGGCCATGTCAAATAAAAGTGTCTTGTCTAAGCTCATAATTGCTGTTTGCTTTGTATTCACCATGGAAAGAAACCAGTATCTCCAGAGGGTGATTTGTGTCCATTACATCAGATGCTTATCTTCAATGGATCCCACATTTCTCAGGGTGCTATAGATGTCTTTTCAAACTACAATGGAGTCTAGAGTTTGGTAAGATAAATGAAACCTGGAAAAATCAGGCAACCACATACCTCGTTAAATATTTATTCCTGGATTAAAAAATTACGCTTTCAATAAAGTTAATAGTGTTTATGTATCAGATAATCTTACAGAGAGTATGTTTAATGTAGATATTTAATATGTTTCATAAGCACACATTAAAGCCTCTGGTAATTTCTAGACTTTTACTGCTGGACTGTACAGACATTGCATTAAGATGTGCAATAATGTACACAATCTCTCTCAGTTTATTTGAATAGTTGCCTCTTTTGACTCTGAGCACTATACAAAAACTCAGAGGCAGAGAGCAAGATATATTTTTCTTTCCTCTTAATCAAACCTCAGATCAGAAAAGCATGAATACAGTGTGCAAATGCTACTGCTTGCTTGATTGAGATAGAAATCTTACCACACTTGGGAGGAGTCTAGTGAGTTTCTGGCAAGAAGTTATAACTCTAAACTCAGATTGCAAAGAAAGCTTGCTTTGCTAGCATCTGACAGTGAAACATGATTCTGTTTAACACAGTGTGACTATAGTTGCACAGTGGGAGATTATAGGCAATGAGAAAATTTCTAACAAATGGCTCCTATCTGCAAGGAACAGAGAACTGATCTCTGCAGAACACATCTTTGGTAATGAGGTGTGCCAACCATGCTGTACCAGTATTAATCTTTCTATAAAAGCCAGCAAATTGCTACAATTCAACACAGAAATAATGAAAAGAATGTTACAGAGTATCCAGGCTCTGGTCAGGTGGAAGTAAGGTATGATGATTTCTTGCTATCTAGCCAGAAATTGTGAAGGTGTCTGCCACAATTCATGGTTTCCCACTCTCCTGAGATCCTTCTATTCCAAAAGATATAGCTACTCTACATGACTCTTATTCAGGCATTTTCTTCCAGTGAAATCAAGGGGCAGTAGAGGGGTGGCATGTTGACCCAGATCCAAACCTGGGAGCAAGGAAGTGCTCCTGAATTCTGTTGTTTAAAGGCAGTCAGTAAGTCTCATCTCATCACCAAATAAAAATGGTGCCCCCCCATCCAATGTTCAGCTCCATACTGTTCTGACATCCATAGTCAGCAAATGCCTAGCCAAATAAAATAAAATAAAATGTGGCTATTTTCACCAGAAGCATATTGGTTAATGCAGCCACTTGGAACACTGATTAAGTTTGGTCTTTCACTACAGAATAATTAAAGACTCACTGGCCAAAAAGAATCACAGAATGAACACAAATTAATGAGAAAGTTATAAGGGTATTCACTAGGAAGAATAGACAGATGTATAATAGTTTCTGCCCTGTCGACTATATATGTCAATATAAAGTATTTAAATATTCAGTAGTTTTGGGATTAGTCAGCAAAACTCCTTTGCCCAGATAAACATTTCTACTCCTATGCAACCGGGTCGCCCACATACATTGCTCCAGTGATGAATTATTTCCAAATGAATCAAAGCAACAGTGTCAGCAAGATGCAACAAATAGGAAATTCAGAAATATGATGCTCATAAGTAAAAAAAAATAAATCTTCAAGCTAAGCAGGCAAAGAATGCACCTGAACCCCTCTACCCTTGTCTCTTGCATGCTGCCCAAATGCTTTATTTGACAAAACATAGGATCTGTTACTTCTGACTATATTCTGTAAGAGTCAGCTTATGCATCCAACTCTGGGAGAGGACTTATGATCATGAATTTCAAGCTGAAAGAGGTGCCTCCATGCCATGTTTAATTTTCTTGCAGCAATGTGATCTAGAACAAACTGGTTCTTGCACTAGTTTGCCTAACCAACCTGCTCTCTATGTCGTGTGTTGGCTTTCACCTGCTCCTTTCTTACGTGCTGGCATCTCAGCTGTCAGACAAGAATATAGAATCATAAAATCATAGAGTCAACCGGGTTGGAAGAGACCTCAAGGATCATTGAGTCCAACTCTACCGTTGTTAGTAGACCATGGCATTAAGTGCCACATCCAGTCTCATCTTGAAAACCTCCAGGGATGGTGAATCCACCACCTCCCCAGGCAGCCCATTCCAATGCCTGAGTACTCTTTCTGTAAAAAATCTCTTCCTAATATCCAACCTAAACCTGCCCTGGCAGAGCTTGAGTCTGTGCCCTCTTGTCCTACTGCTGGTTGCCTGGGAGGAGACTACATCGTCCTTTCAGAGAGTTGTAGAGGGCAATATAACTTCAACTCTGTGTTGAAAATAGAACTACAGACATCTTGCTAGCAGGATGCAACATGCAACCACTCCAGCTTTGCTTACCATCTGTCGAGCATCCGCTGGTGCCATCGCTGGAACAGTAACGCATTTCTATCCTTTGCCTTCCCACCTCTAGCAAATTTGGGTCAGGCAAGCGAGCTTTGCAGGTGTATCGGAAACGTTGTTCGTAGTGGCCACCATTGTCTGAAATATTGACTGGGGTCCAAGGTGTCCAAGGAGTTGTCTTTTTTAACTCTGGGCAGGCGTTGGTGTTACAAGGCTGATATTCCTGAAAGAAATATTGAAAGGTCATATTGAATATAATCCTTAAATATGACTTTGAAAACACCCCAGGGAAGCTCAAAACAGACAAAAAGACAACCAATTAAAAATGCTTCTGATACTTTTTTTCAGCATTTCCAATAGCAGTGATCATCAATAAACTTTTAATTCCAATCTCAAGTTGAAAGTGTTTTTTCTACTTCTGTGCAAGCACACTATTACACTGCTAAAAGCAATAATGTACCAGTACAAATTAGATCTATTACATCCATAAAAACAGTAAACCAAACGCTGTAAGAACCATGATAAAGCACATCCTTTATAAATTAATAGCCCCAAATAAGGTGTAGCTAAATTTGTTAAAGCTTTTAATTAAGAATTCTGATAAACTGCTAGTTTATCACAAACCAGCAAATAATTTTATGACACAAAGGAATAAATAATTCCTTGGTAAAATCTAGCAGCATATGAATAAGTGAACCACTGTCCATTTTTTTTATATTGCTTATGTATTACAAGGCGACAACATGCAAAAAACGTTTTCTATAACAGAGGTTCTCTGGTTCCCTGAGGTGCATGTTACTCATAGCTACAGCACCGCTAAACCTGTCTTCAGAAGCAAATTCCCTGTGGACTGATACACACTAAAAGGAACAGAGCACATCTAAGAAACAAATGCAGAATCGGCAGTACCCTCAAGCCCCACAATAAAAAACTCCCATCAAGATCTGTAGGTCATGCCTATTCATTTTCAAGAGCAAAATACTCTTCATCTGATGCAAATGCTTTGTAAAATATAGGGATGAAATTAAACAACCATTAAATAGAATAAATTCACAGTGACAAATTATTAAAGACAAAAAGAAACAGGCATCAGTGGGACAATTTTTAAATGATCTGTCTACCTCTGACCTTTTAGAAAGAAACTCAGCAGAAGGCATCTTTTGAAAAGGAGCCTACTAAATTTTGCAATTATACTAAGAAATAAAAAAATAAGGAAACAACAGAAATAATGGTTTTATCACATAGTACAATCTCCTTTCATAACCCCTACCCGAGTTGGTGCCACCATGTTCCAACAAGCAATAGACTACCTGCTCCTCTCTTTCCCATAGTGATAATAGCCCTTCTATCTCATACTTTCCTCAGTCCATTACCTCGTCTCTCAGATACTCTAACTTATAAACATAACAAATTAGGCTGAGAGCAATTGCTTTCAACCCATAGCTTGGTTTAAAGGCTGTATTGCTATTTCAGATCTAAAAGAAGCTGCTTTGTCTGAAAGCCCTTCTAATTTCTCTATCTGTTAGAGCTGGGAAAAAAATTCCTTAGAGACCCCTGCCCCACTAACACAACAATGTACTGGACAATCCAGTGTTATGTTCAAGATTCTTATGTTCTCAGGCCAGATGGACTTGTGGCAAACTTCCTGCCCTCCTAGTTTTGTGGTTGTTCAAGAAGAAAGAGTTCTTAGCCCAAAGGATTCAGCTGGACTACTCCTGTTCACTTCTCAAGGTTGTACAAAGTCCCTTCCCACCTTAAAACCTGTTAATCACTACTACACTGACCACATCAGTCATACTTGGGCACCATTTCAGAAAGAGAGCCCCTTTAGAGCATAGAGGACTGGATCAACCTTTCTGGGATCTGAGTTTTAGCCTTGACTGGGTCAGAAAGCAGCAAGGAAGTAGCAGACCATCTGGTCTTGTGTACAGCAAGGAAAGTAGTTTCTTCATGACTCCTCCAGGCAATTGTTTAAAACATGTATGTTTTAGACTGAGGACAAAACGTGTATCACTGTTCTCCTTGCAGCACAGGAACTGTAAAATCTGTTAATTTAAAAACAATGAACAGATCCCAGCAACAGCCAGAACCACTCTGCTTGCTATCTGAACTGCCTACTCACCTCCAACGTGGAGTCCCCCCCAGTAACTGGATGACTGTGCATCTTTTAGCCAGAGCACTCTACCCTCTCCTCTCATTTTATTTTTTTAATATTTTTTTAATTTTAAGACATCTAGCTCTGATGAGTCTATCACCTCCCCAGATCAGCTGTTCCACTATTTAGCAATCCTCAAAGATAACAAATTGCAAGTTAATTCAAGGATGCATTTCCCCCTTAATTTAATTTTCCAGTTACTGAATTTTGCTGTGCCTTTATCAATGATACTGAAAGTGTTTCTCGTCCCATACCAGCAAACAAATTTTTCATGCTCAAGTACCTATACATAATGATGAACTAAGCTGAACTTCTTAAAGCTACAGAAGATTTCAAACCTGATCTCCAGGTCCTGTGCACCCCAATGTCTTCCTTTTGTCCTATTTCCTTATTTTCCTTAAGACTGGACACTAGAATTTGATTCAACACTCTAGAAGCAGTCTTATCAATACAGAGTGCAAAGCCAATCATGGCCCCGTTATACTTGACAGAGTGACTTTAATATGTACTTTATTGAATTAGTGCTTTTTCCTTCCACAACATTGCACAAAGAGCTTAAGTAGACCCAATTATCTTTGATAACCTGTCCTTCTCTAAATTACAGCTTTACGACTACATGTAGTTTTCTACCCCACACAAGAGGCTGGTGTTTGGTAATATTAAAATACATTTTATTAGCTTCTGCAATTATCTAGCATATTATTTACTACCTCAACAATCTCTGTCATGCTCAAACTTTACTGAAAGCATCTTATATCACTGTCTAGACTGCTGATAAAAACATTAAGTGCTATTGACCCAAGAACTGATTGCAGGCAGACCCTGCTAGACACATTCCAGTAATTTATATCTGTCTATTGACACCACATTTTTCAATCTGTCAAATCAACTGGCTTTTAATCCATTTAACATTTGCCATAAATTTCAGTTTTCTGAATCAGTATTTTCTGTTGTGAAGGCAAATGTCTTGGAAAAGGAGAAGTGCTGTATCGCTTTCAAACATCTTGAAACACAAACTCTTTTCTAGCAGTATATAAGCAGGAAAAATTCAATCAGTATAGTAGCTACTATAATGTTTATTTCAATATAGCCACAATGGTCTAAAAGTTTTAGTTCTTCATTTACTGTTGATTTCTGTATTGATATTTTTCAAGCAAAAATAAAAGCTGCTGGAATGCAAGGGCTTTCTCTACTGGATATGGCATAGACAGGTGAGGGACATGTAAAGCAGAATAGGTGAGAGATGCAATGAACCCTTTGTCAAATAAAAATAGGCAGCAGAGGAAGAAGTTAATTTAGTGGTAATGTATTGAATGTTGCTTTACTGATACACACCTAAGATGAACATGTCAGCTCACTCACTTCTAGAAAGACAGACTACCAGTACTGAGTGTGCTTCAGGATGTGTAGTCCCTTCATACACCCCAGCTGAGGGTATACTCGTATGCTATTACATGAGGCAGAAAGAAAGATGTTCCTGAAGAGTATCTGTGGAAACCACCTGTTAGTTTTTCCTTTCTTCTTGCTTGGTGCGTAGCTTATATGAAAGTTTGACTGCTGTCATGCTTGTCTATCCAACCACTGGATAATACCCATTAAAGGCTCAGAATAGCAGGGGAAACAAAAGTACTAGTTTACCCAGAAAATATTTACATCAGTAAATAATATCTCTGTGAGAAAATTCAGAGGACAATCATCACAATGGATGACTCTGTGAAGTTCTGGCAGTAATAATAACCTGGCAGAGCCTGCTGGCTGTTCTAACAAACAGCAAGTGCTGCACTGCTCTAGCAAAACTACCATGTCTGCCACAGAGGAATCGAAAGTTGCACAGTGCATGTTCAAAGCATTGATGTGATCTGATGCTTCAAAACTGCAGTATAAACAGAACAAGGATCTGAATGGTCTCAAATTTGGAAGTAAGTAAAAGAGGGGAGAGTAAAGGCACAATTCAGATCACACATGTATGTATTTAGTGCTGCTAGCATGAAGGCATAGTCCTACTGGAAAGATTCATCAGAGACTGGAAATACAGAAACTGATACCTCTGCTTGGATTATCCTCCTCTTATCACCTTGTCCAATGCTTGAACAATTTACTCAATTGGGATTTCAGGAATAAGTCCCTTTCCAAAGCAATTCTACCAGCTAGAGTCATGGATACATTAATCAAGTAACCACATATAAGTCTCAGATGAATTGAAGTCTCAGATGAAACAGTAAGGTCTCATCTCATCCAAAGAGTGGCAAGACAGAACTAGAAAAGCAGTGAAGCATTCTGCTTCAATCGGGCTGTTGAGAGGAACTGAGACAGTGGCCGACAAACTCCATCTTATACAATTCACATGGACTGAACTAAGAGATGGCATCAAGCTCTCCTAGAGCTTGATGCCCATAGAGGAATACTTCAGGGGCTCACATAATGGGTTTAAGTACATTAGTACTTAGGGCACACTTGTGGACTTAGAATAATAATTATTTGAGGCAATTTACAGACTGCAAAAATATCATTGCAATAGTTCAAGCTTAACCACATTCTCAAAGTTCTCTTTGCAAGTTGTCCTAAACTTGTGGCTTTTAGTTTAGAGTGGATTTATTCAGTTGAGAGTTTTAAATTTATGCCTGGCTATACCTGGTAAAGATACAGTAAAACCCATAAAGACTAAATTTCAGGGGACAACTAAACAGATCATTGGGATTTTTAAGCAAAAAACACAAACAAATACATACCTCACAAAATACATGTCTACAAAAATGATAAATTAAAATAAAAAATTATCACAAAGAATACTGGTGATAATATGAGAAAAGGCATCATAAATTAAACCCATAATTTGGAATCATAGAACATAAATATAGATTATGCTATTAAGCAGTTACCTTGTTTGCTATTTAAATAATATTTCCTAGTATTTGTGTATAATGAAAAAAAGAATATTGATATCATGTTTTCTACCAAGATTTACTTAGAATTATTTGGTCATATTATTATAGAAAACAACAACTAAAATGTTATTTCCAAAACATCTTATTCCAAACTGAAGGAGACTATTGTTGGTCATATTATTA